TGGAGCTTTTTGATAATGGAAAATAAGTTCGACTGAAATATGGAAAATATCTTGGAATTTATTTATGTATATACTGTATCTTTGAATTCAGAATTTATATTTTGGAGAGCGTGCTTTGTCATATATTCATATATTAAAAATATATTATTTCATATATTAAATTCATATATTTAAAATATGGATCACTGATGACCCCTAGAAAAAGTTTTACAGACGATTCGAAAAAATCCGTTGAAAAAGCAATCTACAAAAGCCCCCTTTGCGGTCGCTTCCTTGTTTCGGTTGACCAGTTGGGATTGTTTTCTCCCCTCATTTTTGCAGCCAATCCATTCGTTTTCCCGACGATATATTTTCTTTTATTATTTTTTTTATTTGCGTGATTGAAACAAAAAGCTTTCTTTTTATTTCCTTGTCCCCGCATGATGTTGTCCCTGATTGGAACAATAAACCCTGCTGTTGTGCGACCATAGAGAGCAGGTGTGATGATTTCAGGTGGTGCCGTCAGGCTTTTGTCCCTATGCGGGGGTCAAGCTTCCCAATCATGCTGGCTCCCCTGTGGTCTTCAGTCGTTTCGTTGACCTTTTATTTATTGTTCATCGCATTCAAAAAAAAATTAAATCAGAAATCTTCTACAGTTGCAAGATTTTCAGGTAACACTGACACGCCTTTGATGCCCTGGGATCCCATCCATGTTTGACGTGGCGCAAGAACCAATCTTAATCTGAGAAATATACTTTGCTCAATTAATGATAAGATTTTGTACCAGTAAGCTTAGCTCTTGTGCCGCAAAGTAGGGATATTTTTGTAAAATGTTGTCCCCATGAGGGCTGCAAATTAAAAAATAAATATGACTTTTGAATCAAGGCCTGTCCAAGAAAATTCCAATAATACAGTGAAACCTCTGTGAGTCAAATTTCAAGGGACCTGAAAAAAATTCAAAGTTTGACTTGGAGGTTTTGACTTGGGGATTTTTTGAATTTTATAGGTTGGAACTACAATACAGAGCAATTTTTTATGGGAAACTTATAAAAAAGGTAAGTGGCAATATTCTGGGGCTTAAATGGTTTCTTAAATGAGTTGAAAGGCTGCTGAACTTGGAGGCAGGGGTTCATTTGCCCAATTAAGTCTTTCACTTCCTTTAAAACACATAAATTTCAATTTTTATTGCTTTTTTCTTACTTTTTTTCAAGAAAATAATGGCTAACAGGCCAACGAAAATTTGATTTCTGGAGGTTTGAGGGAAAAAGCTTTTGACTTAGGGAGGTTTTTAATCTATTGTTTCAAAGGGGATTCAGATGGGGACCTAAACAAATTGGGCTTTGGGAGGTTTGAGTTATCAAGGTTCAACTGTATTTTTTTTTAAACAATGTAGACAATTGTGGCTAAAGAAAAATCCCTGCCAGGTAGAATTTTTCATGCATTCCCAGCAGCATAGAATTAATACTGGTAATTTATTGAGACAATGGGATTTTCTGAATGCAGATTTTTCCAAACTAAGGCCTTGGCAAACTGGAGGCATTTTAGTGACATTTGGTCAAACTGAAATGTCCCTCCCCCAAAAAAATCCCAACTTTGTTTCAGAATGACCAGGAACCCTCCACTGTTCAAGGGTTGAGAACTATTCACATGTGCCACCCAAAAAAATTGAACAAGCAAGGTTCTGATGCATTATATTGTAGATACAGTATACGAATTTTATCTGTGATTCAAAAATATTTTATTCATTATTTTTCACAAAATTGTCATATTAGCAGAGGAATAATTGATTTTTTTTTTCAAAAATCAAAATAGCTGCATGCCAGAGTTTGGTCTCCTTTCCTCCCTAGGACTAACAAAGGAGTATCATGTGAAGCAATAGGATTTAACTTTTAAATACTTCACCTGCTCAGACTGAATTTTGGTGGCCGTATGTCAAAACTAAAATTTTCCTGCCATAAATTCCTGGCATAAGGCTCGTCTCCAACACACCAAAGAAAACAACCCTTCGCAGTCCAAAGTTTAATTTTTTTTTTAAGTAAATGTATGAAGAGATTGCAGTCGCTATATAATGACTGGTGAAACAGGACTTCATCTGCTCCATCCAGGCCAGATGAATGTGATTCAACAGACGGTAAGGACAGGGGAAAAACAAGAAGATTGCCGAGAGCACGCTGCGCAAACCTGCGCACGTGGGGGCAACGACAGGGCAATTAAACTGAGGACACCCGGTTGGGAATAAGAAACATATTGGAAAAATGGATAAAATAAATGTAAAAAAAAAAAAAAGCTCGCGTGCTGGATGGTTGTTGGCTTGCTCCCCACATATCCCATATACCTGATGACATCAGCGATTGCTTCCTTGCTTTATTGACCCGCGCGTCTATTGTTCATTGATTTTTCCACATTCCGTCTATGGATCATTTTTGGTTGCGGGTACACCGTCAGCATGTCTTGCAAAAATTTGTTCAGCCTTCCGTCTTGTACTTTTCCGAAAAAAATGCTATCATTGAGGTAGAATGAAAGGCAGCAAAACTCGAATAGGTTACGGGTTACATTTCAGGCATCCCAGAAAAAAAACTGAATCTCATCTTCGTTTTCTTTGCTCTGCTCATATGCCGAATCCAAATGAAAAAATAACTCTTTTCTTTGTTTGTTGTCTTGAAAAAATTCTGGAAACATGGGATGAAAAGTTGCTGGAAAACATGAATGGTAAAATTATAAAATATTAGTAACTATTTCCTGGATAAGTGAACTTAGATTCATATCAATCTTTACCACAAAAAATCGGACTACACTGGAATGGATCCATGACAAAATCAACTACTTATTTAGTTTTGTAAAACAACCAACGACTAACCGAGTGACGTACGTGGTCTAGGCAGCTAGAACTCGATCATCACGTGTTGAATCAACTTGCAAACTTCACTTTCTCCAAAATTCGGAGAAAAAAGTGGGATTTGTGTCATATTCAAGTACAAACTGCTCTTGGAAATTATCGAGATTTCTTGTTCAAGTCATCCGTGGATACCATTACAAATAAATAATTTTAATCGAGAAGCAGTAGATTTATCCTGTTCTTTGAATGTAAACTGATAATTTCAGCTGTTGGTCTTAAATTGTGAAATTTTTCCATAAAAACCGGTGCGTGTGTGTTTTATACTGGTATACGTTTTTACCTAATTTTTCAGCTAGAAATGAAGTTGTCGTCTATTTGAGGTAAAAATTGGTTCTCGAGTAAATACGATGATACTAGCCGAGCTTAGAGGTTAAGTTGGACTGAATCTAGAAAAAATCGATTCGTTTTAATGATCTGCTAGATTTAAATTTGTTCTCCTGGTGTTTGAAAAATTATCTCGAAGGTATTTCCCCATTTAGAACAATAAAAATTTGAAAATTTTGGATGCCAATTTAATCTAGCTTAAAAGTCCGATTTCTGAAAAATATTTCACTAGACTTCGAGTGAAAACTTCCACATTATTAGAAGAAAGTTTTTCTCACGAATATGCTCCCAGTTTCTTTAGAATATTTTCTGAATATAGTCTTTATGAACGCTTGAATGAGTAAATGAATTCCCGTGAGTCCTGAGGGTCCATAAATACTGTAACACTGTGCGTCTGATTAATTATTCATGCATTCCATTTTCCCCTGCAGGAAAAAAAAAAAAAACTCAGCAAGCATGAAATGAAAAATATCAGTTATTCAATCGTTGTATGGTTTTTCCTATTTTTATTTTCCTCCCGAACTTTCGTTTTCAACTGAATTCCAAAATGTGACACACTTTTGGGCGGACGGTTTCGTTCAACCGCACAAGACACAGAGCTCTGGTATTCCGTTGCACAAAAAAAAAAAAGACACCCACACTCACGAACAGAAGCATTCGAACACTTGTACAACAACATGCGAAAAAGAAAATCAATCGAATTCGCGAACGAAAGAAAAAATCGAGAAAAAATACGCTTCCCCCATTAATGACTGGAAAAAGTCCAACCACTCAGGGGTTTAGCCGAAGCAAACGGATTTAAAAAAAAAAGAATACTGACACAAATTATTTTTCAAATCCCACTTTCTCCTCCCTTCTTTTTTTCATTCGTCCCCCAAAACTTTTGGCAACTAGTCAAAAACGATCAACATAAATGTCTCGGTTTTTTTCTTTCTTTTCGTTGGGCGGATCTGTGTGCGATATCGACAATTTTTCTCCTCGTATGAGGCAAAAAAAAAATGGGAGACAAAGGAAAAAAATCAATGCTGATTTCCGTCTGACAAAAAAAAAAGACTAAGCCAAAGAGGCGAAGGTTTTCCCAGGGATTTATATCACAGCTTCCCTCGTCACATAAAAAGACGAAAAAACAAATCGAGTCCAGATACAAACTTTTCTAACAATATTCCAGAAAAAAAAGGAAGATATTTACGCTTAATTTCAAGCCGATTGAATGAATTGCTAGGGAAAAAATCCCCATGTGGAACTTCAGTTCCGACATTAAAAGAGAAAATTCAAGAAAAAGACTGTGCAGATTCAGGCTCTTTCAACAATCAAGACCCAGTCAGGAAATCACTGCATCTTTTCAACCGACTTAATTAATCTGGAGCAAGAATCTGAAGCCGAACTTTATTATAAAAAAACTGAATGACTAAAAAAGGGCGTTCCTCCGAAATGGGTCGGGAAGAGGACAAAAAAAGGTCCCAATTCTATTTTTTTTCCAACAACTGTCATGGAAACAGAATTCACTGACTTTTTTCAAATGACTGAATAAATTGTCGTCAAGAGTCTGAATCTACAATTTCAGCTCGAGGACCAATCAGAAAAATAAACTGACAGAATGCAATCCTGTCTGTTGATTAAATAGGTGGAGCCAGAATGCGGATTAGGCGGGGAAATCTCGTCTCGGACTTTTCAATTTATCTTACATGGTCAACCCCAAAACGAAAAAAAAAAATAGCGAGAGAAAAATAATCCCTCAACAAGAGGAAAACATTTTCAGAAAAAAACACATTTTTGTCATTTGACAAAGTGGGGAGAGAGGTCACTCGCCTTCGTCGACCTCAGAAGCAATCGGTGACATGACCTCCATCTTATTTGTCGACGTCATGACGACATCATTGCTATGCTCGTCACCGACAGCAGAGTCCTCGGTATCAGACTCTGGCAAAACTGTTGTGGTGTCGACGACAGGCGCCGTCGTCGTCGTCGTCGACATCGGCGGTGTTGTCGGCGAGTCCCGTGCGGCGGCCACGGCAGCAGCGAATGCTTTCGCCACGAGGGTCAGTGGCGGCGGCGCCGGGGCGCCTGGGTGCTGGGATTCCACGTGGCGGCGGAGGTCGACTTTGCGTTGAAACGCCTTGTCGCAGAGTGCGCAGGAAAAGGGCTTGTAGCCCGTGTGTTTGCGCATGTGCGTGATGAGGTTTGAAGATTGGCTGAACGCCTTGTCGCAAATAACGCACTTGTGCGGTTTCTCGCCTATTCATAAACAATAAAAAAATAAAATCAAATAAATAAATAAATAAAACCACACAGGTCATCAACAACATATTTTTATTTTTTATTCTTTTCTATTAATTCGAAGAGCCGGCTTCTTAAAAATTTATCTTTTAAATGTGTGCTTCTTTGATACAGCGTTCCGTCCGAGGTAATTTGGCGTGCAAATAGTGTTATAATTGCTCAATCCAGTAAAAACCCAGCTTAGCTCTTGAGACATTTTCTGGTTTTTAAAATACTGCAGGTTCCTGTGGTGCCATTATTTCAATTTATACGTTGTTTTTTTTTTAAATTATTTGTAGAGATCGAAATTGACAGGAATGACTCCTAAGTATTTTGCCTAATTGTATATAAGTTCTTCAAGCTTCATATCCCCAAGAGTTGGTCAATGGTATTTTCTAGGAATATTTGCGGCGAGAACCTCTCCAGAAAAGAAATCAAAATATCAGGGGCTGTCAGAATATTTACAAAGTATTCGAGTATGATGAAAAACGCATACAAGCACACTATATATGAAATCCAATGAACTTCGTAAAACAGAACGATTTCGAAATGAACCTCATTCTCGAAAGCCGGTCTAATCCAAATAGTTACTTGCTTCTCACGATACAATCGATATGAATTTGAATTTTTTTTTCCTGGATTTCTGATGCTCATCTAAGTGATCGTGATCAGCAATTGAACGTGAGTTTTCATGCGAATGTAAGTCAATCAAAAGGAAGTACATATGAAAAGGCTTGCAAATATTTTATGAGCATCTTCGACTGGTTACAAATTTAGGTTAGGTTTATCGCAGAAAATGAATGAATAACTTATATGTCTAACGAATTTTATTTCATGAATTTTTATAGACTTCCGAACCTTCATCACCAGGGGATACGTCGGTGATCTCGCCTCAATCTCTCTCTCTCTCTCTCTCTCTCTCTCTCTCAAAAAAAGTAAAAGATTATATTCTAAGTTAAACAAATTTATTTGCCACGTTCAAATATACAGAACTAATCCGTTCTCGGCTTACCGAACATTGCGTTAGCAAAATTCGTCCCCTCAAGACACCCGCATTTATACCGCCGTAAATTTACACATGAAAAGATCTTTCTCTGATTTTATGAACAAATAAGTGAAAGATACCGGCCGCAGATTTAGTGTCCAGAAAGGGTCATAGATTGGGATAATGGCTATATGAAACAAGCCACTGATTACTGTCAATGCTGTGCATTTCAACTCACCTGTATGAATGTAAGTATGCTTCTTCATGTCAGACTTTTGGTGGAATCGTTTCCCGCAGTACTGGCATGGATACGGGCGTGTGTCCGAATGGATCAGCAGGTGCGTCGACAGCGTCGACGATCGCTTAAACACCTTTCCGCACTGGTTACACTGTAAAAAAAATAATAATAAAAGATAAAAAGAAATCCAGATAAAAAAATGAAGACACAAGAATCGAAAAAAATGATACACGCTCAAAAATACACACAGTCGGAGATTAGGACAATTAAACCAACCCCGGGGGATATATTTATAAAAAAATATTAAAAAAGTTATGGAGAAATTAATCTCGCGAGGCAGTGGACAAGTTCGATTAATTCTTCCTTGCGCACGCGCGCGCGCAGATGCTTCCTTATACAATCTTCCCCACTTTAGATCATTAGGCCATCTGGTGACGATGCCTTTTAATTGCCCCCCCCCCCCCCGCACCCGCCTTTTTAACAGCGAGAAGACATTAATTATGCCGTCGCGGGTTTTATTCTTCGCAACATCCCCTCGCTTGCTGCTTCGATTCTGTTTCCCGGCTTGAATATCTCGGAAACGAATCGAAGCGAGAATATATTGAAATGAAGGAGATTGAGGGGTTAACTGATGGCAACACCTTTGGTTCGTCACTTTAAGTTATGAAAATGCGTTCGAAAACTGTTTCCGCTGCATGGACGATTCGATCCAGGGCTCACGATAAAAGTGATGCCGATTATCGATTTAAATGAAGAAAATCATCATCAAAATATGGCAGTGACTAATTTTTTCAAGGGGTCTGCTAGAGATTTTCCTGTGAAACACTCGCCCAATAGTCCATCAAAAGAAACCGTAATTTGGGGGAAGATTTAACTCACTTTTTTTGGAAATCAGCAACCAGAACATTTTTGGCTTCACTGATAATAAACAGATTTCTCAAATGAGGGTTTTTATACACAACTATGGAATTATTCCGTAATTTTTGGTCACTCGAACTTTTTTCTGCAGATATAATTTAAAAAAACACTCAAAATTTGAGCCACGGGGAAAAACTTTTCAATGTCGAGTCGAGTGTGTCTTCCTCTTAAAGTGCTTCACCTTCACAGTGGCAGGAAATCAATTCAGTTTACGTAATTTGTATTTTGACGTATCGAATGAGTTTTAATATTGCAAACATTAATATGATATGTTTGGAAATGCGGTGTTTTTCTTAAAATATAAAACGAAGACCTATTTCCATTCAAGATCTATTATTCAAGACATCGCTCAAATTTTAAGTTCTGCGAAAAATAAATAAATGCATTCCCCAGACCATTCCTGAATACCACTTGAAGCCTTCTGCATATTTTCGTACTCTCTTTTCTACTGTCATTTTTTTCAAATTTATTAACTTACATCGTTTTTTTTTATTTTCTGATGTCTCGCAATTTTCGGATCCTTCAAAAAATCAACGAGCTTTAAACCTCCAGAGCGGAGGAAAATTTCCCGTTTTAAATCCATGATATTCATTTCCGTGTTTAAAACTGGAGGTATACTGTATGTCCACCCCGATCAATAAATAACCCAATAATTTTGTTCATTTACACTAGAAAATGTATGTCGCTCTATCAAGTCTATTTTCTGAAGAAATAATGTAATTGACAGGGGCTCACCTCAAACACGCGTTCACCGGCGCTGTTTTTCGTCGCCGTTCGGGCTCGTTGCACAGGTTTCGAGACGCCATTCGTGGCCGGAGAGACGCCACCGGGACTCGCCACACTGCTGCTCCCGGGAGATGTCGCTGCGGGTGACGGGATCCTCACCTTCACATCATCTGATCCTTCCTCTTTAACTGTTGCTCGGTGCTGCAGAACTGTATTGTTGTTGTTGTTGTTGTTGTTGTTGGCAGACACGCGACGGATGGAGTCGAAGAAAGAGGCGTCCAGCCAGGGTTCCGCTCTGGGTTCCAACGAGGAGGCCGGCGACCAAATCCCGGGCGGCGTCTGGTGGTGGTGATGGTGCAGGTGGTGGTGATGGTGGTGGCGGTGGAGCCGCTTTTCCAATTGCAGCGACGAAGAGTCGTGGTTCTTGAGGGACAGGTTCAGGGGTTTCTCGTCGTCGTCCTCGTCTTCCGTCGAATAGGGTTTCAGGGGTGATGGAAACTCTGTGTGTCAAGGAGGGGATAAATACTTATTAATTATATTTTTCAGAAACTAAACCACTGCAATGACTCAAATGCATAAATCTTTTTTTTTTAATGCCGCTCGAAAAATCAAAGGCGCGTCCCAAACCTAAAGACTCTCGACAATAGATAATTAATATTATCATTAAACACGGATGAATTGAACTTTCAGATTATAGCCAACTGAATTCTGAACTAGAGTTTCAGATAATAATCTCCCAATTTTTTAATCTTAAGCAGCGCTTATTAAATCACCGAGGGTAGATAAATCATTTCATTACGTCAACATGGTATTCTACACCGAGGAGTTTCGAGAAGTGAAGTATTTGTTCGAATAACACCTAAATTTGAAAACAGTAATTTTATTCCATAGCTCTTTCCTATTGAAAAAATACCCATACAGTACACATATACATATATTCTACATAAAAATTTATTGATAATTGCGAATGCAAAGTGGGATATTTTTCGGATACGATCTCAATTGAGATAACCCCCGGGAATGCAAAAAATTCGGCCTATCATTTCATTAGTCGCATAGATTTTTTTATACTGTATAGAAAATTTACTTATTTGATTGCTGCGTGTAAATAAATTATCATGGACATACGAAATGATTTCTTTCAAGTAAGAACGGAATAAGTCGAACAAGAGAAATACATCCACCAATCGTTCGTCGGCCTTGGACGAAAATATCCGAACGCATTTTTTACGTTTAGAAGAAAAGTAGGACATTTTACGGATCCGATTTACGGGCAGAAATACGGTATTAATCTAGATTCTAGACCATTTTAGCCTGAGACGAGTTTTAATACATGCGCGTATCGAGGAAAAAAGGGATAATTTAGGAAACGAACAAAAATTGTCTGCGAAGATGAAAAATCCGTGCATTATTTAAAAAAATTGACTCAGAACTAATCGGTAAAATATTTTCCTTGGCCCTTAATTGCTATTAATCCTATCGTACTAAAAACAATTCAATTGTCGTTCGATATACGAGTTTTAATGAGTGGGAATCGAGAACTAGGTCAAGTGTGGTTTCCTAATTGATGCTGAGCTTTTTCCAATCTGCTGAAAGGATATTTTGATCGAGTTTCAATTTAATGTCGATCGTACAGATAATTACAAAAAGGCGAAGTAAGAACCGAATGCTAAATTTACCGAAATTTCGTGATACAGTTCTGTATATTTCATCATCGAATGCAGTTCAAAGACAAAGTTTCGGTTACAGGAAATATATGAATAACTATCCATGAACCCCTCAGAAATGCAATAAAACCTCTTTTATCCGGGTTAGTAACCAGTTGTTTCCACGGGAATACAGTAATTGAACATTTCCAACACCTGGAAAACTACAGTATTTTACAGTAATAGGGATACAAAAACATTTAGAACAAGCTGACGCAAATAATGATGGAAAAAAATGACAATTATCTGACGCGAAAAAATTCCTGGAAATGAAAAAAATTTCCGGATGCCATGATGATGAATTTGACATGGGAGCTTAAAATTTTGGTTTATTGTTCGCTTCTCTTTTCTATGCGGATATTTTTTTGTTGTTGCTGAAATAAGTTTTTATCCCTCCGTATATGACTCGAACTTCGGGCATTGAAAAGCGTGCGCACAATCAATCAAAACCCCAAAAATTGAGGCATTACTGTCCTGGAAATCGCAATAATTGATCGCAGTTTTAATTATCGCCAAAAAAATAAAACAAAACCCAGAGATAAAAAAAAATAAATAAAATATTCTCACCGAATTTGCCTTTGGTGGCATTGGAAGGTTCTGGCGACGAGGGTGACAGCCATCCAGCAGAGGAGTCGCGTGCTGGGTGCTCGGCTCCGTCGCCGCCACCCACGCCTCCACCACCACCGCCGCCGCCGCCGCCCTGGACGGCGGGCGCCGCGGCGGCCACAGCGGCGGCAGTGGCCTGCAGGGACGTGGCGTAGTGGCGCAGAAGGGCAGGCGGATACGGAAACAACAGGTTCGACGGCAGCTGCGGCCACGGGAAGAAGTAACGCGGGTAGTTCATGGACGGAAACATCGCGGCCGCCCCCGGAGGCGGCAGCACTGTCGGTGACGTCGGCACCATCTCGCTGGCTCTCTCTGCAAAAATATGATAAAACGTGATAAAAATGTACGTGCATTTTCACGTGGCCCTCGCGCAACGAACTTTTGTCATGCAAAGCAGACGCGCGTTTCTCAAAAAAATAAATTACTCATATACAATGGCTCTTTTCCTGCATGTAAAAAAAAATCCCTCGTTTCTATAGGAGATTCTTTTTTAAATTACAAGCCTGCAGTTGCTGTGAATATGTAAAGGAACTCTCCTAGAAAGTGTATTTGCAATTTTGTTTTGTTTATGATGCTCTAGATTTTGCGCAGTTATTCGCCGGGAACTTCTGTCTGGTGATCAATAAAAAAATGAGGCTAGACGATTTCCGGTTAATCACTTAATAGACCCACTGTTGAAGGACCTTATATGAGGTCATTTCAAGCGTTTTCATCAGTTTTTTTTTCATTATTTTAATTTTGAATATTAAATCCCCAATTTATTTGCGCAGGAAAAAGTGTCTCATGCTTCACACACTTCATTAAAAGCACTGGATGGAATGATTTCTTTTTGTTGTACAATACACCAATGAATGTACAGTAAAAAAAAAGGGGCATATCACAGTATATACAGAGAACATACGATTATGAAAGTTTGAGGTGTCATCACTTCAGTTATTAGACCAGTTTGTTTAGCATCTCGACTCGATTGAATTTTGACTCGGAAAAACGGAAAAATGACGATCGTAGAAAAAAAAAATTAATTCTCTTAAGGTCATATATACGAGTACACCGCATAGTAAAAGTGAAATTTAATTGGTTTTCTTTGTGGAACCCAAACAGGTGAGACACTAAACTTTTTCCGAACCTGTCATTCAAAATGCCAAACTCAATTGTGCACTGCGCGCCCTTGCGCAAGCAACGGGGCGCGATTTCTGCCCAAATCGAGAAAAGATCTTCCTTCAAAAAAAAAAAAGAAGTTAAAATAATCTTTCCTCATCGAATATTCAAGAAAATGCTCACAGTACTGTACTGTACTTGGTATATGACACTTTCTACGCCTCAATGTGACTTTTTCATTGCACAATAAAATTAAGAATCACGCCCCCAAAAAATCATTCAATTCAATACACCCTGAACACTCGGGCACCCTATCATCATTCATCCATTTTTTTTCATACGAGCCACCTTCAAATTCGCGGATCTTCAGGCTCTCTCTCTTGATTCATACGAAGTCAAAGAAAATCTCCCTTTGTCAAATTCAAATAAAATTGTCACTCGTTCCTCGTCAATTTTTGGATATTTTTAAAAACTTGGTTTATGAGATTATGACGCAAGTTTATCACCTCGATATGACGAGAATTCTCCCTTTCCCCGAAGACCCCAACCCAAAATTTTTAATTCACTAGTAAAACCTAAACACTTGTACACACACACACACACACGCACGCAAATACACACACAATTCATTTTATTTTACTTTTGAAAAACAATTTTTTTTTTTGTGGAGCCAGCATCAACTTTGTGGCTCGTCAGGTTGCTCCTTCTGACAAAGTGACAGCAGAACCCGCAGACAAATCCTTCAAAGCCACCCTCGGGGGGGGGGGGGGGATATGGGAGATGCCAACGACACAAAGTACAGTAATCCGCTGAAACTCGTTGTTACGAGGTTCTTCAGCATTTCTATGTATACCTTGTGATGATGTGGGGTGATGGGGGAAAACGGATGGACTGGTGGGGAACACCTGACGGCGCGGGGTGAATGAAGCAGCGCGTGCGGGGGCAAGCCAACAACTGTCGTCGCTCGCGGGGCCCATCGCGGCCTATTACTGCACTGCTTGATTGCTTCCCGCTCATTTTCGCCCCACACCACGCTTATCCCGGGGCCCTTCGACAAGTTCCCTTTTTTTCCCCCATCACCCCACATCATCACAAGGTATACATAGAAATGCTGAAGAACCTCGTAACAACGAGTTTCAGCGGATTACTGTACTGGTATAACAAATAACTGCTTATACAAAAAAAGTCATTTGTTTGGGTTCCATAGCCACAAAGTTTAAGCCTTGTGCGGCAAAGTTGGGATATTTTTGCAAAATTTTGTGCCACTGGGCAATGGAAATGAAAAAAACCTACTTTCTTACCAAGTGGTGAGTCTCAGAAAAGTCAAAGAATTTTTTTCTAATCCTGCAGAAAATTTTCAATGAATTAAAAAAATAAAATCCCTTGCTGGGTGGCGTTCTTTCCTGCATTCCTGGCATAGGATTTGCATGGAAAAATCTTGGAAACAGAAGAAAATTCTCCTCCCTGATTTTTCCTGACTTAGGCCTTCTCAACCTGGGCACATTTCAGTAACCTTGGGCCAAACTGAAATGCGCCACCCCCTAATCCCAACTCCACTGCACACTGAGAAAGAACCCTCTGCTGTCCAAGGGTGAATGAGGTACAGGACTTCATGACAAAGTTTTCTTTATAACAAAGCTACTTTACCCAATGGCGTTATTGTTATGAAGTACAATGCATGTGGAGTCAATCTGCAAAAATTGTCTAAAACAGTTTTCTTTGCACAACAAATTAATTTTTTGGTCAAATGGAGAGGGTTTTCTGGTCATGCTACACATGTTCTCTCTAAAAAAATTATCTCTGCCATGATTTTCTCTGATAAGCTGAATTTTGTTTTAGAAGAGGTCACCTACATGTACAATGTAGAGACAACAATGGGATTTACCTGAAATGAAAACTATGCCAAGGAATATAGCCCACCAAAAATCATAAGATCTAAAACTGGTGGACTTTCTCCCTACAATGATACTCTGTGGGTATTCAAAAAAAATTTTGTTGAGAGAGAATATTATTGTAGGTATTCTCTACAATGCTAGAGGGAATACCTGTATTTATTTTTTTCTCTTTGAAAAGAAAAGGTATCAATGTAAAATTACTTCTTCAAAGATCTCAACAATTTCATACTGATTTGCCAAATGAAAAACATTCAAATGCATAAGCATTTATTAGCTTTTAACCCTTTTGAGTGGCAAAGTTGGACTATTTTTGCAAAATTTTGTTGCATGTCAGAAAGGTGAAGAAAAAAATGACAACAGGGTGTTGAGGGCAAAGTTGGGGAAAATCCCAATGTTTTTTTTTTCTTGGCACAGACAAATTTTTAGGGAAAAAATACTTATTAAGGAACAGGGTTTTCTTGGATTAATCCTGACTTTGCCTCAGCCCACCTGATGGAGGGGTTTTCCTGACATTCAAAAAATTGAAAATGAAGGAGGATACAAAAATAATCTGACTCAATCCCTCAATACAAATGAATCCTCCACAGTCCAAGGGCTAATTTCTGAAATACAGTATTGAAAATTTTCATCCATAAAGATTAGTTGCATGTGTTATTGGGGATATGAATTCAGCCAAATTTTAGAAATGTAGGTGCGGGTCTTAAGGGTATGTGGTGCTTGAATGAATCCAGCATGTCCCGATGCAGTTACAGAAGTTCTAAAGGAAACATGCCTGACAAATTTTCATCAATTTTGACCATAACTGTGCAATTGGGATTTTGTGCAAATTTTGATTCATAAAAAAATATAGACCTTATCCACTGTGCTGGATGCAAAATTATAATATGAAAACTATGAAAAAATGTTGACTATAATGAGACTCTGAAGACCTTCAAAAATTACAGAATAATAATGTACTCTTTTTTCTTCTTCATAACTTTAAAAATTGCATGTCCCTTTGAGCTTGTTGAATGACTACAGGAGGAGTAGAAACTCGCTAGAAATGAAGACAATATCGAGGAATCTGCTATAGCCGCCCCCGGCGAAAGCAAGAATAAGATAAAACTTTTGGAAATTCTTAGCAAAATTGCATATGATGTCCCCATGAAGATTCGGCAGGGATAGATATTGACCCTATACTTGCCGCTTGTGCCCAAAAAGGACAAAGTCCTAAGCCCTTCATAATTAATAAACACCCTTCGGTATACAGTACTGTATTTGCAAAACCCATTCGACTTTGTGTGGGACCCACGAAAATTGCGGCGTCGCTCTTCAATTGCCGCCGCCGACAAACTACTTCATCCCTCTCGTAACACTCGGGGAATTAACTGCTGCCGTCCTTCGGAATCATCCCTCGCTGTGGGGCAATCATCCTTCGCCAGGCGATTTGTTTTAAAATCAAACTTTGAACCCGTTTTGCGGCTTCTGCTCGTTAAACATAAACCGGGTCAGATCCGTTGCCGGCGAAAGAAAAATACATTATTTACGTTTTTTTTCTCGACCAATCGACAAGTCTGGGTTAGGTTCTGAAATGCTTTCCTTTACTGTACTCATTTCTTGCCTCAACAAAAATCGTATTTTTGATCAATCGAATCGCTGTGTAATTTTGCAAAAAACACATCCTCGAATATCACGTTTACAGAAAAAAAGAGCGAAAAAAGCCCCACGCGAGCAAACCCCCGTCCTTCAGAGCTAAAAACAAAGCTTAATGTGGAATTAGGGTGACAATACTAAAAACGAAAGATATACAATAATCTTTTATTTATTTTATAACTTCTGAAAGTTTAAATTCTTGAGCTTGGTTTCGCAATAATCTTAAAATTTAAACTACCGCAAATTACAGAGTATTGTACAGTTTTCAATTATGACTGCCAGCATGTCAAAAAGGGAAATTTGAAAATTCGTACGCGGTATGTCCAGAGATTAACAAGACTTCATTCCAACAGCTATTTCCAAAGAAGAGTTTGAGAATACTGCGGGAATTAACTATAACTTGAGAATATAATTTCAACAAATCCTTGCTTCTTCGAATTTTTTCAAGGCCCGCAATTTAAACGCATTTTGTTCAGTCTTTATTTTATAATTGTATAATTACGAATCATGCTTCCGGTCCCAATGACTATGTTCGAATGAGAAGATCCCGCTGTGCTAGAGCTGATACAATTTCGGTCGTAATTTTTAAAAATTTTAAAAACAAATTTGCCTCGATCCGTTAAAAAAAAAAGCTGAGATTCCGGCAATACAGCGAAAATATTAATCTCGCCAAGTATTCTCAAGAATCATGACCACGCAAAAAATAAAATAAAATAAACCGCCACCCAAGAACCTCGACGGAATCACGGCAAACAACTCCATTCAACCACTATAAGAATCTTTTCTTTCAAACCACGCGATAAAATGCCTCGATTCTTCCAGTCGGAAGAAGACGAAAAAAAAGTGAATGGCAGGTGTTCACTGCCTTCGAGATACGCCTAAATGCCCCTCCACTTAACTGCATCCCCATTTACTTGGAACCACAGGTAAACACCGAAGGCCATCATTCAATCAACGACCGGAAAAATAATACACTGCTTTTCCCCGCAAAAAAACGGACAAGACGAAGCCGGGGACAAATTACGCTCGAATGCGTTTTGAAGTTGAGCTTCAATAAGGGTACGGGAATCAACCAATTCATGCGCACTCCAAACCGTCGACACAACTGACGCTGGCGAACACCGTTTCATCATACAACGTCAGGAACATGAGGGAATACAAAAAAATAAAAATAAAATAAAAACTGAGGATAAAATGGAATAAAAGGTGGGAATCCTGCGGGAACCAGAGGAAAAAATTACGGCCTGTCTCGCGAATAAAACAGAGAACATCACATCTGATACCTGCGCATCAAGGCTCGCTCGCATTGCAACCCAATTACCACCGGAAAAAACAGATTCCAGCAAAAATCCTGCAAAATCGTACATTTTAAAGAAAATTATCATCAGAATAAATCTCGCGAAGAATCAATAGGAAGCTCGTGAATTTATTTTGGAAGTTTCCAGACGAAGAGGACATGCAGCAAGGACATGCTTTTTTTTCTTGGGATACTTTCTGACTGATCATGAATCCGATATATAAAAAAATTGGGAGAATCCTTAAAATGCATGCCTTAAAATATCTGTCGATTGATCAGTCTCAACAATTTTACTTTGATTTAGAAAGGATGCATTGTTAACTGTTCACGGACGAAAATAATCCTTTATTCCAAACAATCAGTTGTAATGTTTTTTGATTGAAAAAAAAAGAAAACAAGCAGCTTCAGGATCCTTCGTTTTGAAGGTTACGCTTTCATTCAACGTGTTCAGATATTACTTTAAAATGTTGTACATTGCCTATGAAGAGTATTTCGAATATGAGATATTTCTTCAAAAAATGATGCACATATTTTGAATAATTCCTGACATTATGTATCACGCTCAGAAGATAAAAGCAATTCTCTTTGCCCAATCTTCAGTTTTCACATTACTTTCCTCGGTTTCAAAATTCGCATCTTCTAAAATTCTGCGATGAAATTATCCAATTGGTAGAACCTATACTGTATTCCAAATTTGCAATCCATTCGAAGACGATTTTCTCATTCACTCTGTTTCCTCAAAAAGTTGATCGTCTTTTTAGTAATTACAAATAATACACGTTGAGAGAGAAAATTACTAGCTTTTATCTACTGTACATTGGTTGTGTGCACATAATTTAATTTTTTTTAAAGCACAGCATGTACATAATTATAGAGTCAAATGCTCTGTGCATAAGGACCACCAGCCAGCAGTGCTTTAAATCGGTCTTTGTTTTTCTCCTTGGGAGGGCGCAGTTTCCAAAAAAAAGCCTGAACAAAAGAACCCATGCACTCACTCTATCCCGAAAATTCCAAGGCGATGGATCTTATAAGAAGATTCCGTCTGGTTTGATTTCATCATCGTCAGGCAGCGCATGTTTGTCAGGCCTATAGTATAGCTGCTGCTGCAACCCAACCCAACCCGACCCAACCCAGACGGGGTTGCGGGTGTGGA